AGTTTAATTTTTATAAAAATTAGTTTAATTTTTTATAGTATAGTTTAGTTTTTACAATAATTTAGTTTAATATAGCTCTTTGAACACCCCTACCCTTTACTAGTCGAAGTTCTAGATGAAGATGGCACCCACTAACATCATTATACACACAAGCGGAAAAGTGTAAAAAAGTGCACGAGTAGAACAAATATCGTCTTATGTACAACACAGCAAACTTCAATTATTATTTGACTTCGATTAAGGACAAAGAGAGATGTATTAAATATGTTATAGAAAAATACACATTCATTTACCATAGGAATTACAACACAATGATTAATAAGACAAAAATTGTGAGATTAATTAGCTGAAAACCGCTGTAACTACCAAATGCTATATTCTAAAAGCTACATTATACAAGTGATTACAATAATACAAAGTGAGCAAAAAGTCAGTCCATGTTAATTCTAGCTGGAAGGCATACACCAGGAGCTTGCTCTTCCACAAAAATGGTTTCACAATTAACCAGTTTCATGACATATTGAGCTGCAGGATGGTACTTCTGCTGAGCTTCAACGAAGCCTCTGCCAAGAACATATTCAACCCAATCCTCCACAGCATTCTTTTTGTCTGATAACCAAGCAGCTGCAAGTATGTGCGCTATAACCTCATAATCAATTTCCAGCTGAAGCTCTGAACCAAATGTCTTCTCAAATAGCATGCCAATGCTTTTTAATACTTGCTCAGCAAGCTCATCAAAATCGAATGGCTTAAAAACCACTTTCTCATCAATTTCATCAAAGAAGTCACGTAACCAGGCGTCTGTATTTTCTGTTATGGATTCACTTTCATGGTCATTGTCATTGATACTCTCTTCACCCTCCTCTACAGGCATATTTAGATCAAGATAGGATCGAGATGCCTCACTGTCCTGTTTCTGAATCTTGCTTGTTGCTTCCTCCTTGGAGTCACTAATATCAACCTGCTTTCTTTTGTTTCCAGGTGATGATTTGGAAACCCCTTTTCTGGGTACAACCTTAACATTTGTGCCACCAATTCTTTTGGCATCCTGAGTTGCATGTCCGAGTGATAATTGCATTTGACATCTTTTGGCTTCAAGGATTCTTTCCTCAGAAAACATCCTAGACTCCTCCGAAACAGAAGAGCCATTACCTTTACAGACACTTGAAGTTACAAGGAAGATTGTGTTATTGATGCTAATTGCTCTTCCATGCGAATCTGGAAATTTGCCTGTTCTTACTGCCTGCAACAAACTAGTCTGCACCAGAAAATCGGCTTTATCTACATTTTCAAGAAAGACAACAGAATGGCGTTTTCTACTCAACTCCCCAGCTATATAGTCCACAACTGTTTTCCTCCTAAGAACATCATAACATTGTGATTTTTGGCATTCAAAAATCGAGTTAAATGGGTAAAAGCCGTTCTGGAAGCCCAGATCCACAGAGATTAGGCTTTCAGAGTTTCCAAATGTAGTATCTGCAAGAACTGAAGCAATTTTCCTTTTCCCAAGTCTATCTGGGCCAAGGAAAGCCAACCATGTGTCTGCTCTACCATGTGAGCCTCTACGCTTTCCTGCTCCTGATTTACAAAGGGACAAAGATTGACTGATAGCACATATGGCTTGATCCTGCCAGCCAACTTTTTCTGTGAGAAGTCGATTAAGAGACTTAAAATCTGCAAAATTAAATTTTCCTTCAAAATTTGAACCAGGGCATGAAGATCTAGCAATTTGGTGTGAAGTATTTTCATTCATAGCATCACAATCAGTAGAAACAGAGTCTGACAAGCGCTGAAGATTCTTTCTTTGATCTTCTAGTTTTGGGGTATCTGGCTCTTGAGCAGTTGACGTATATAATGTTCCCAATCCTAAATCTGTGGTCACAGGAGTAGGGGATGAAGATGATCTGTTGTCAAGCACACTCTTATTCGCCATAGGGGAAGGGGCAACCCATGGGGTCTTCAAGTCAATTTGCAGTGTCCCTGAAACTTTTGGAACATGATCAATTCCAGTACTAACGCTGACTGTATCAAAAGGTAATGGAACAGATGGTAACTGCTTTGATGGAAAAATATCATGCAACTCTTTGGGCATGTAGGAATTTTGACTAGAACAATGGAATTCATTGTGTGATGGATCTCTGCTGCTGCTTTCCCTAAAACCTGGACCATACCGTAAAGCCTCAAGTGTTGGAGCTTGAGACCTTGTTTGAGAAATATCAAATTGAGGTAGTGAGCTTGTGTGATGAAGACACTGACAAATATCACTCCATTTCTTTTGAAATCCCAAGATCTTGTCATTCAAACTTGTGTTTTCTTCATTAGTCTGCACTGGATGACGAATCTCATTCTTAAATATATGCCGCCATAAATTGAAGCAATGAAATATTGAAAGTGATGCAAGCCGTGATTATTTACAGAAAGCGAATCCAAGAATTTTAATCAAGGTAGGAAATATAACTAATTTAATTGACAATATCATTTCATTAATAAAATATTCTAGAATAACTTTTGTAAATGTTCCGGAGGAGGGATCTGTTTACTCTAAGAAGAAGTCTACCTAGACTTATTCCATTCATATCATATACAAAAAAAAGTATGATTTTCTTCTATGCCAATACTAATAGCAAAGAAGCCTATTCATCCATTGGCAGATGTATACAGAAAGACCAAAGATACACAGGAAAATATCCACGTTGAAATAGAAAGTGCTTTGTAATTTGGACAAACTTTCAGATATATATAATACACTGACTTTTAAAGCACATGTTTAATTAAATTTTCAATTTGATCATTCAAAAGCCATGTGCTCAACAAAAGAAAGGTCAGATGGAGAAACAAAGACAAAAACCTTTTTTTCTTTATTTGGTTCGCTACTTATAAATCTTAATACCCTTTTCAAATTCAAATTGTATTCTTTTCACATGTGTAGGCAGGTTAGCATTATGCCGGGTGCCTCTAAATTATTTTACAGTAGTACTGCAATTGCCCCCACCATGTTGCATGTATGCATGTGACGTCTCAGTATGCATTGGACAAGAAAATGCAATAATAGCAACAATAACAAACCTTTGCCACATCCAACCCTCTATGCGTGTCCACGTTAACAACCTTCTGTAACCAGGGTGAGCTTGTTGAGCAATTAGATGCCAGAGTAGAAGGACCTACCTTCAGAATATCAGCAACTTCTTGTTCACATTTTTCATTGCATGTGTCACAACGGGTAAAAGAAGCATTTGTACAGCTTACGGGACTTCTAATTTCAGGTGTAGAAAAGAACCCACCAAATGGAACAAAGGACCCCATCAAACTGTAAGTTTATCATGAGCAGGGAACTGTGAGATCCAATAGGCACAAAACAGTCAGAAGCTAAAGTGTGCACAATGAAACAGACTTCAAGGCATCATCTACATAAATGAATATACTCTAACCACAATATATATACATAACAAAAGACTACTGACCCGAAAATCTCACAACAGCAGCTAGCAAAATACACACTGAAGTGTCTAACTATCCATTTAGATCTTAAAATGCATAACAAGAAAGGGCATAAAAAACAACTGTAAAATTGAAATTACATTAATAACCTCGGAGAGAAGGTGGGCCCTGCAGCAGAATAAGAACTACCTGGTCTTGCCAAGTACATATCTCGGGGTTGCATGACATGACATGACATAAGATCATGGTAATAAAAACTCAAATTTAGCATTTTTCATTATAAAATCGTTTCCCAGCAAGTAGTACATTACAGCAGATTGCATGTGTCTCATTATTTTCTTATTAAAAACATCGAATCCTGAACTTCATTGCTGTATCTTCTAAATTCAGAAAAACAAATATAACAGAGGTTTTGAGTTTAATGAGGTAAATTACAGTAGCATGCAAAACATATTCAGAAAAATTCCACAGCAACCAAACACCCCTTTTAAAAATAACACAGAAAAGAAAACCAAGGAAAACAGAAGAGATCTCTCAGAGCAACCAAAAACACACCAAAAAAAAAAATTAACTCAGTTCACAAAACACAACAAGCAGGCGAGTCACACTGAAATTTAAATTACCACCATTTACTTGCCCCGTGTCAAAATTACAAACAAAAGTGCATTGCTTCTCACAAGACTCCGAAATACTTGATTACTACTTACACAAATCAACGTACAAGAACCCTGAACAGTACACTCGATCCCCTATTTCTCTTAAACCAAAATCACCACAATTACAAAATAATAAAACGAAAAAGGCACGCGATGACGCGAACTCCTAGGTTCAAATTTTGTAGCTTTGATAGTTCACACACAAAAGAGACACGCTAGAAATTGGGGGAAAACAAAAAAAAAAAAAAAACGGACCTGGATTTGGAGTAGAGTCCTTCCATGGAAGGAGTAGCGGAAGTGACAGTGAGCAAATGAAGATCCCAATCGTTCCCCACGTTGGGAAACAAACCCAAGAACTTAGAATAAGCATGAGAGGTTTCCGCCACTCCCAGCAACCAAACTTTCTCACCACGGATCTTCAACAACCTCGTCAACCCCGACACAACAAACCTAACAGCATCAGCATCGACACCCTCCCCAACGAAAGCCTCAATCTCCCCGAAACTAACAACAACACCAGAATCAGAACCCTCGCATTGGTTCTCCAACTCTTGAAACCTCGCACCCATCTTCTCCTCTCCACTTCCACCCTCCCTCACAAACTCCCCAATTTCCTTCTCTAAACAAATAATCCTAATCTCCGAACCTAACACCGAACCTCCTAGACCCTTCTCAACCATCTCAACGAAACTCATCAACGCGCTTTTCGCGTAAACGCCCATCAGCAAAGGGTTCCGCTTGCTTTTCCGAAAAAGAACCTCAGCAATCCTGCGGCAATTTTCGTCAGGCCGGTTCGGTTCCAGGTTGTAGAGAAAAACCGGAGGCGACCGGGGGAACCGGTGAAACGGTTGAACCGGAGGGAGAGGCGGTTGAAGCAACGCGAGCTTAACGTCGCAGCTTCGAAACCCGGCCTCAGCGAAGACGCGACTCACGATTGGATCGTCCAGGATCGACAAAACGAAGTGTTTCATCTCAACTTTCAGAAACGACGTCGCCGCCGATCCTTGCTGGAACGCGTGGAAGCTCTCCGGGTGCCGCCGCTGGTTCGCCTGGGAGCGCTTGATGGCGGCCATCAGGGAGTTCGACACCGGCGGC